TTAGGGCATAGCATATTATATATGAGGGCCACTGAAGTAAAATTGGTCTAAACACAGAGGAACCACTGAAATAACTTTCCAGTCTCTTGGGATACCTGATATAAAAAGGAGTACATCTACAACTCATGCTACATTAGAGTGATGGTCAGTGGGTAGAATGCTCCTTGTACTTTTGGTCACTAGGAAGAATTACCCTCTTACAGATAGCTGAAAAGATTAGTGGTGTCAGTTGGAACTTATCCGAGAGGCAGAAATTGCTCATTGCTCAAGGAACCCCTAGCAACCTCCAGAGACACCCTAGGAGTTCGATGGAACCCTGGCTGAGAAACCCTAATCTAGGACAACAATAAAGTTTCTGTACACTTCCTCAGTAGGGTTGCCCAATATGTAGGACATGCACAGAACCATCTAAGACATGGTCTCCAAACTGCGGCCCGAGGGCCGAATGTGGCCCTTTGCTTGCTTTTATCCGACCTTGGGGCACTTTTGTCCACGGATGCCAACAGTGGGACATAATTCCATCTACTGACACCAATGAAGGAGCTCAATTCCTCCCAATGACACCAACAATGGGGCCCAATGACACCAATGGTAGGACAGAATTCCTGCCAATGACACCACTGATGGGGCGCCATTCTTCTCAGGACCTTTTTTACGCCCAATGGCCAGTCTGGCCCTCCTAAAGTCTGAAGGACCATAAACTGGCCCTTTGTTTATAAAGTTTGGAGACCTCTAATCTAGGACAACCAATATCACCTACATGCTTCAGTATACTTCCCCACAGAAGTGGCACAGATGAACACCTGAGCTATCCAAGACGTTTAAAACACATGACACGTCTGGTGAAGTAATGGATCCAACTGTCAGGCTTGTAGCCCCAAGACCTAACGCTCAACAGAAGCAACTGTTTAAGAGGAATTGATCTTATGAAGCCAAGTCCACAGTAAGTGATATTTCTACTTCTCTGCTTTGATTGATGGCTAACATGATACCGCTACATCATAAAAAGGAAGCATGTAGTTAGTGAGGAATCACAAGTTCCAGAAAGACTTATGGGGATTATTTACTAAAACTGGGGAGTGCAAAATCTGGTGCAGCTCTGCATAGAAACCAATCAGCTTCCAGGTTTTATTGCCAGGGCTTAATGGAACAAGGTGAAGTTAGAAGCTGATGGGCTGCCATGCACAGCTGCACCAGATTCTGAGTGCTCCAGTTTTAATAAATCTCCCCCATAGCTCTTTGGCAGCTGCAGCCCAAAAGCCCACCAAACCTGTAATTTAAAGAACTACAGAAGAATCAGTTTTCATAAGAATTTGGTGGAAAAAAAATCTGGGTTACAATTTTTTTGTAGGATCACCACGAGATTGGCAGAACTTTAAAAGGAGGATGCAGGTTGCTCAAGAGAAAACCCTTCTCCTAAGTGATCCCATTTAAACAGAATATATCTGAATTCAAACTACAAAGAACAATGAAGTTGTTCAAATTACAGTCACCCATAGCAATCAGATGAAACCAGAGATCAGTACAGAAAAGGTGGCCGATTTCTCTATTGATGCATATTGCTCTTATTAAATAAGGCCTGTTGCTCTTACTACATCTAAAGAGTCTATTATACAGCACATTGCTGGGAACTGCTGGGAAGTACGGGAAACCTGAAGACAAAGTATGCACCTTAGCTTTAAAACAACAGCGAAACAGATCAAAGTACCGGAATCTCAACAAGCTGGCAACCTTTGAACGGCTCCACATTCAGCAGGTTCACCGGTCAGAACAAACAAAAAACAGATCACACGGCTGGCCGGGGCAAGGCATGATAATGCACATCCAACACAGCTCCTGGGAATGCAAGGCAAACCTGCAGCACTCACAGGGTTAACAGAAGCGCCCAGGAAAAATTCTCAACTGCACATCATTGGACACATCCAGTCCTATTAGACTGATTGAAACCGACATGCATTTTGGCACCCAGTGTCTCACAGCGCCAAAACATGTTTTGTTACATTCCAAGGCGGATAATTTGTGACCTGTTTGTCACCGTAATAATAGACGTGAATTGTAATTTGTGCCGCACAGCATATAAATCATTAACAAAGTCAATTATCAGGGGGATAAATATTTTAAAATCTAGGAGGGGGCACCTGCTTATGGCACTGCTCAGATGGCACAGAGTACATGGGATATATGGATTATATGTTCTCTGTAAGACATGTCACAGAGAACAGGTTCCAGTGTGTGTCAAGACTGATGGCAATCAATCATTCACTACAATGATGAGAATGACAACTAAAACTTTTTTTGGTGTAGGAAACATCAGGTTTAACCAGGCGATCTACTGAGCAAAAGGGCATGAAAACACAATATGGCTACTACTGGGCCCAGCTGCAGAGGGGGCCCTAACTAATTTATTCAGGTGGAAGGAGATTGCTCAAGGTATGATAAACTGAATTCAGTAGCCCCTATTAACTCTCAAATCCAAAAAAGGTACCTAATGGGGCCCATAAAGTTCCCTCCACAACACTGCACACATAACTGGGAAGGGGGGGGGGGATATAGTCATGCTAGTTTTAATTACTAATCAACTAATCAACACGGTAATGGGGGGGGGGGGGTTCCTGGGTATCTATTATTATTATTATACAGTATTTATAAAGCGCCAATGGTTCACTCAGCGCTGTACATTACAAAGGGGGACAGAACATGTGACAGAACAATACCAATACAATGCAAAACATGAGGGGATCGAGGGCCCTGCTCTTTCGAGCTTACAATCTAGGAGCTATTCTGTAACATGCAACCCATAAGGACAAGTTATCATTCTAAAGCCCCAGGCATTGTGGGGGTTATTTACTAAAAATGGTATTTAGCAAAATCTGGTGCAGCTCTGCATAGAAACCAATAACCTTCCAGAGTTTAATGTCAAAGCTTTGGGGCAGTACAGGGGCTAAATGCTTAGCACTTCCACCTGGCAGAACTAGGGTTGTTGGTTCGAATCCCAACCAGAGCTCCACCTGCCTGGAGTTTGCATGTTCTCCCTGTGTCTGCATGGGTTACCTCCGGGAACTCCAGTTTCCTCTCACACCCCAAAGACATGCTGGTAGGTTAATTGGATCCTGTCTAAATTGGCTCATGAATGTAAGTTAGGGACCTTAGACTGTACACCCCTTGAGGGTTAGAGACTGATGTGAATGTACAATATATATGTAAAGTGCTGCGAAAAATTGATGGCGCTATATAAGTACCTGAAATAAATAAGCTTAATTGAACAAGCTGAAGTTAGAAGCCGATTGGCTACCATGCACAGCTGCACCAGTTTTAATAAATCTCCCCCATAGCTCTTTGGACCAGTTTTAGCAAATCCACCCCATTATCTGTAAACTCACATAATAAATGTACCTGGAAGAAACTTGTGATTAACACAGTGCCCCTCTTGCTAGTCCTCTTTTTAATCCTTGCATCAAAGGTTCTACCTACGATTAATGTGTGGTTTCCCCAGCCACAACCTTCCCCCCCCTAACCGTGCCTCCAGCATAAGGCACAAAGCGTTAGCTGTGCAACTAGCAGAGATGTCAGCAGAAGACGTCAGCAGTGGGTGTCGGTTTCACCACCAGCGCTGGGAAAGTGTGACCGCACAGAGGCACATGCGCTGACCATTAGCACACAATGACATGCTTGGCTGAGCCGACAACTCTCAGTGACTGGGGGGTGAGCGCTACAACATGGCTTGTTTATCCAGCACACAATGTGTGGCATCCCTGCTGGTAAACAAAAGCGCCATGATGCCATCCTGATGCCAATTACATCCAATTAAATAAAGCAGCATGGGCCACCTATATTACAGAGCTGCTGTTTATGCACTTGCAAAATGAATGAAGATCCGATTAAATATTTTGTACTCACTTCATTCTTGCACTCAACAATATCTGGTGTGTGCCAAAGGCTGGCCATACATTATACAATTTTCTTGAGATTTTTGCTTTAGATTTACCAAAAACCATATAATAGGAGGTCAAACCCAAACAACACTTTCAGTTGTATCCAATTAGTCTGGCCCTTGCACTACATAGTTGAAGGTAAATCTAAAGGAATTTGGGCAGAAATTGGACAGAAAATTGTATAGTGTATGGCCAGCTTTAGTTATGTGGGAGCATTCCAAATTTTGATGCAATTTTTTTTTTTTTTTAAGGATTCTGCTGACAATCAGAAAAGCAGCCTGGTTAACTATGCAATAGCAGACACATTCACGTGACCTGTGCAAGCACCTGGTTCAAATTTCAGTTGACCACTAACCGCAGTTTTGCATGCTGCAAGTCTAGTACTTGGACACATGGAGGCTTGCTTTTAGACAGATGGGGGAGATTTACTAAAAAATGGAGTACTCAAAATCTGGTGCAGCTGTGCATGGTAGCCAATCAGCTTCTAACTTCAGCTTGTTCAATAAACTTTGACAATAAAACCTTGAAACCGATTGAACAGAGCTGCATCAGATTTCACATGCTCCAGTTTTAGTAAATCTCCCCCATGATGTCCTACAAAGACAGGGGCATCTTGCTGACTAGTCGTTTGGCAGGCTCCTCGACCATCCACCCCACAAAGTATTATTAATAGGGAATGCACCCCCACAACTTAAGTAAAAGGTTCTCTTTTGGATGTATCCGCAAAGTTTGTCAGAAAAATTAAGTAATGCATTCATTACACAAAACGTCCAGAAACCTTTGTACTCTGTATGGTCTCTATTCCATCCTCACTAGTGCCTTTGTACCCCAGAGCATGTAGTGGATGGAACACAAGAAAAACTTTTTTCCTCCCCAAGTTAAAAATATGCACCATGGCATACATAAACTTACCTTTTCCAGGACATTTTTTAACCCCCAAAAAAGCCAGTAATCCACATTGTAACATGAGGGGGTTAAATGGGCGCTTTACAGTGAGAGTGGTTATAGAAGGGTGGGCACCAGCGACAGGGGGGCATTTTCCAGAACAAGCCTTATAAACACCCGTACCTGTAGCGCAGAGAGCCACAAAAGTCTGGGCGTGTTTGCGGATGATTTGCTTGGTGTCCTCAGTCAGTGACATTTTGTTAAGAAAATGTTCAATAAAGTCGTGAGGGGTGACAGAAGCCATGTCCCATTTCAGCTTATTCAGGATTACCAGCTCCATTAACTGTGGGGGAAAAAAAGAGAAAGAAAAAAAAAAAGGGGGGGGGAAAAAAAACTAATGGTGAGAACTGGCTTTAGTCACTGAATACGTCACATGTCAGCAAGATGTTAAAAGAGAAATATAAATTGTACACACAAAGACAATACATGCATGCTGATAACAATATCAGGATAATTGACAAAAGATGTCCGCAGGACCTATTTGGCTTAAATTCTTATCCTCCAGCTGATAAGATAAGTAGCTAAAGAAGCACCATCAGCCCTCTGGCAGCTAGCCAAGCACTGACGATACAAAAAAGGTAGTTACCGTTTAAATTTAAACCAACACATTAACTGATGGAATAATTCAGCTCACTGTGTGTCAGTTATTAATTCACATATCAGTTGGAATCACCAATTCAGAAGCAGATAGCATTTCACATACAGCAGCTTTCCAGAAACTCTAATATTTTCAATGTTTCTCATTTGTATAAAGCTCAACATAATGGCATCTATACAGCTCTCTGTCCAACCCCCAAGTCCCAATTAGGGCTAAACTATAACTATGATGGGCAGCATTAAGCAGCGAGTGGATTTTGCAGCTGTTGTGCAACTACAAGGCTCAGCCACCCCTGAAAGTCAATGGCTGGCATGGCAGGCTCTGGATCTGCAGTTCTACAACATCTGGAAACCTACTGACTTCCCAGCAGAATTGGCCAGTTCCTGTGCAGTGTGTACACCTGATTCACTGCTAGGGGGCGCCAGATACAAAGTGAATGCCCCTGCATGTGTTAGCAGCATGCTGTATAAATGTTACATTGTTCAGGATTTCATAGGAAATGGCATGTAGCGTCTTTTCCCCCAAAAAATGTGTGCGCAAGAAGCATCGTGACACACTGCAAATACCTGTAGCACAAGAATTTACAGGGATCACACAGCGGGTTTTTTTTTTTTATCTCCAACTCAAGACAGATGCTCTGATCATAAAACAGACACCAAATACATCAATTTGCAGAGGGGGGGCTGATAAACAGATGTGCAGGCCTGCGATTGAATCCATTATGTACAGTAAACAGGAAATTACCAGTAATTCCTCTGGTCTGATGGAATTATCTGTGTAAATACAAAGTTTCTCTGCAGTTAAAGGGATGGTCTCCTTCATTTTGGACGCCAAAAACATGCACGTCGCCCCCAGGAGCTGCAGTCTGCTCTTCTTCAGCGGCTCCACGGACAAAAATCGATCCAGATAGTTCATGGCAAGGGGGAACACTTCCTCTTCGCACTTCTGTTCCTCGCAGACCTTGGGAGAAGGAAAAGCGCAAGTTACCAAACGGGTTCCAGAGAGAAAGGACGAATAATAGCCGGCAATCAACAACAGGAAGGGATTGTCAGGTTAAGAGTGAAAGAATATGTGAGCAATGAGAAACGTCTACATATGGCTGCAGACCGAGAGAGCCGGGGCTGTCCTGGAACTAGAGAGCACAGCAGGCATGCTGGGACTTGTAGTGCCACGGCAGCTGGAAAGGCTTGCTGCAGAACAATGCAGTGCTTTCCATGCGGTGTGAAGGCAAATCTTGACTATGGTAGATGAGACTGTATAACTGTACAGTTAGGGGCCAAAGGATCAGAAACCTCTCTAACCAAACGTCAATATATATATATATATATATATATATATATATATATATATTTTACACACAAAGAGTTTATCTCCTTTCCTTAGCCTGGGCTTCATGCACATGATGCAAAAAGACATGACCTAGGGTCTTAAGCATAGCATACAAATTATATATATATATATATATATATATATATATATATATATATATATACATACATACATACACACACATACACATATACATACATACACGTAGAAACATACATACACACACACACTTGCATAAAGGCAGAAATATATATAAGAATGGGGCAAGGTCTATCGTGGGTACAGATAGATCGATATACCCCTTTTTTTGGCAATAGCAAGCTTTTTTTTTTTTTTTTATGTGAGATAGACATAAATACACATACAAAGTCACTGTTCTAGATAACAAAAAATTTGTACATGCACAATTGAGAACTTGTTGAGCCACGTTTACTGTGTCCTTGTGTGTGCAAGCATAGACTGACCCAAAATACTGGGACCCCCATTAACTGAGATCCTCAAACACTGAGGTCCCCAAAGCCCTTTCTTGTGTGAGCAAACATAGGCTGTCCCCAGATACTGGGACCCCCCTAATACGGAGATCCTCAAATACTCATGTAAGCTCAGTGTAGGGTGTCCCCAAATACTGGAAATCCCCCCCCCTTCCAAATACTGGGATTCTCATAACTATGTGCGGTCCCCAAATACTGAAATTCTGGGGCCCCTCAAATACAATCTTTTGCATGCAAACATAGGCTGTCCCCAAATACTGAGATCATCACATACCTATGTGTGCACAAGTGTAGGCTGTCCCCAAATACTATGCCCCCCCCCCAAATACTATCTTATGTATGCAAACATAGGCCGTCCCCAAATACGGAAATCCTGGGGCCCCAAGATCCCATCCTTGTGTGTGCGCGCAACAGTAATACTGAGATCCTGGGGCCCCCAGAACCCAACCTTGTGTGTGTGCACGCAAGTGTAATATGGAGATCATGGGGCCCCCAGATCCCATCCTTGTGTGTGCTCAAGGGTAATACTGAGATCCTGGGGCCCCCAGATCCCATCCTTGTGTGTGCTCAAGGGTAATACTGAGATCCTGGGGACCCCAGATCCCATCCTTGTGTGTGCTCAAGGGTAATACTGAGATCCTGGGGACCCCAGATCCCATCCTTGTGTGTGCTCAAGTATAATACTGAGATCCTGGGGCCCCCAGATCCCAACCTTGTGTGTGCGCGCAAGGGTAATACGGAGATCCTGGGGCCCCAAGATCCCATCCTTGTGTGTGCTCATGTGTAGGCTGTCCCCAAACCAGAACTCTGGCCCACCTGGCGGGAGGGAAGAGAAAGGGCCATGCGCTACAACATGATCCGCAGATAATGGACAGACTCTTACCCAGGATTTTATATATAGATCCCCCCTTCTGCATAGATCTCTAGATCCACTCTAGGAACCAAACAGTAAGATGTGGATGGATGAAGAGGTCTGCCATCTGTGGATCTCATAGATCCTGATATAGATGGGAGGAAGTGATCTATAGATAGATGGAAGTGATCTATAGATAGATGGGAGGAAGTGATCTATAGATGGGAAAAAGTGATCTATAGATAGATGGGAGGAAGTGATCTATAGATAGATGGGAGGAAGTGATCTATAGATAGATGGGAGGAAGTGATCTATAGATAGATGGGAGGAAGTGATCTATAGATGGGAAAAAGTGATCTATAGATAGATGGGAGGAAGTGATCTATAGATAGATGGGAGGAAGTGATCTATAGATAGATGGGAGGAAGTGATCTATAGATAGATGGGAAGAAGTGATCTATAGATAGATGGGAAGAAGTGATCTATAGATAGAATGGTGCCTGCAGTAGCAGAGCGGTGCTCTCTAGATGGGGGGGGTGCAGACAATCCAGAGTCCTGGCCTCCATTCTTCTCCATGCCGGGTGGTCCGGTGTGCTGATCTGGGGGGTCCTGAGATTGGAGGACACTCGGTCTCTGCACACACACAAGGACTTGTATTTTCTTGGGGGTGCAGTATTTGGGGGCTCAGTGTTTGGAAGAGGGGTGCAGCATTTTGGGGTCTAAATATATGAGGGTGCAGAATCAGATATATTTTGGGGGTCTCAGCATTCAAGGGGTGCAATAAAGGTAGGTGAAGTATATGAGGGGTGTCAGTATATGGGGTTCAGTCTATATTTGCACACCGTGTCTGCTCAGTTCCCCCAAAGGGGGGCGGGGGGTCAGGGATGGACATGTGGAAGGACCCCCGCCCCCCTGCAGTGTGGCCCCCGGAGGAGTCCATGTTGGGCCCCCGGTCCGGTGACGCACCTCCAGCATCCATGTGGCGACGATCTTCCTCATGTAGGGGAGAACCTCCCTCTGCACACACTTGAAGTAGTTGGCGGACGGGCAGGCGGTCTCCTCGGCTTTCAGCATGGTCCGGAGGACTCGGTCAGTGAGGAGGTTCCGGTCCAGGTGAGCCCTCCGGATGGTGTCCACCTCACAGCACAGCAGCTCCATGTCGGTGTGATCCCCGCTGAGGAGCCCGGCGTGTCCCCGGACCGGGAGGAGGAGGAGGATGTTCTGAGCGGAGATGAAAGAAGAATGAGAGAGAAAGACGAGCCGGGCCCGGGAGAGGCTTAAACAGAGCCGGAGAACCGCCCTCCACCCTGCCCCTGCCCCTCCTCCTCCTCCATCCCCGACCACAGCCGGCCCGGGGGAGGAGAGACACTGAATACAGGCAGACCGCCACCGGGGGACAATGCGAGGGGACACCAGTGTGGGGGGACAATGCGAGGGGACACCAGTGTGAGGGGACAATATTAGGGGAACACCAGTGTGGGGGGACAATATGGGGGGACACCAGTGTGGGGGGACAATATTATTATAATACAGGATTTATATAGCGCCAACAGTTTGCAATATAAGGGAGACAGTACAATTACAATACATTTCAGTACAGAAGGAATGGGACACCCACGTGAGAGGACAATATTAGGGGGACACCCACGTGAGGGGACAATATTAGGGGGACACCCACGTGAGGGGACAATATTAGGGGACACCCACGTGAGGGGACAATATTGGGGGGGGCACCAGCGTGAGGGGACACTATTGGGGGGGGGCACCAGCGTGAGGGGACACTATGGGGGGGACACCACGTGAGGGGACATTTTGGGGGGGGGGGGGGGACACCAGCGTGAGGGGACAATAATGGGGGGGGGACACCAGTGTGAGGGGACAATATGGGGGGGGACACCAGTGTGAGGGGACACTATTAGTGGGACCACCAGTGTGAGGGGACACTATTAGTGGGACCACCAGTGTGAGGGGACACTATTAGGGGACCACCAGTGTGAGGGGACACTATTAGTGGGACACCAGTGTGAGGGAACAATATTAGTGGGACCACCAGTGTGAGGGGACACTATTAGACGGGACACCAGTGTGAGGGGACACTATAGGGGGGGTGGGGGACACTATTAGGGGACACCAGTGTGAGGGGACAATATGGGGGGGACACCAGTGTGAGGGGACACTATGGGGGGGGGGGGACACCAGTGTGAGGGGGACACTATGGGGGGGGGGGTACACCAGTGTGAGGGGACAATATGGGGGGGGGGACACCAGTGTGAGGGGACAATATGGGGGGGGACACCAGTGTGAGGGGACAATATGGGGGGGAAACACCAGTGTGAGGGGACAATATTAGGGGAACACCAGTGTGAGGGGACAATATTAGGGGAACACCAGTGTGAGGGGACAATATGGGGGGGAACACCAGTGTGAGGGGACAATAATAGGGGAACACCAGTGTGAGGGGACAATATTAGGGGGACACCAGTGTGAGGGGACAATATGGGGGGGACACCAGTGTGAGGGGACAATATTAGGGGGACACCAGTGTGAGGGGACAATAATTAGGGGGACACCAGTGTGAGGGGACAATATAGGGGGAACACCAGTGTGAGGGGACAATAATAGGGGGACACCAGTGTGAGGGGACAATAATAGGGGGACACCAGTGTGAGGGGACAATAATAGGGGAACACCAGTGTGAGGGGACAATATTAGGGGAACACCAGTGTGAGGCTACAATAATAGGGGGAACACCAGTGTGAGGGGACAATAATAGGGGGACACCAGTGTGAGGGGACAATATAGGAGGGGACACCAGTGTGAGGGGACAATATTAGGACGGGACACCAGTGTGAGGGGACAATATTAGGACGGGGACACCAGTGTGAGGGGACAATATTAGGACGGGACACCAGTGTGAGGGGACAATATTAGGACGGGACACCAGTGTGAGGGGACAACATTAGGACGGGACACCAGTGTGAGGGGACAATATTAAGGACGGGACACCAGTGTGAGGGGCAATATTAGGACGGGACACCAGTGTGAGGGGACAATATTAGGACGGGACACCAGTGTGAGGGGACAATATTAGGACGGGACACCAGTGTGAGGGGACAACATTAGGGGGGACACCAGTGTGAGGGGACAATATTGGGGGGGACACCAGTGTGAGGGGACAACTATTAGGGGGGGACACCAGTGTGAGGGGACACTATTGGGGGGGACACCAGTGTGAGGGGACACTATTGGGGGGGACACCAGTGTGAGGGGACAACTATTAGGGGGGACACCAGTGTGAGGGGACACATATAGGGGGGGACACCAGTGTGAGGGGACAACTATTAGGGGGGGACACCAGTGTGAGGGGACAATATTAGGGGGGGGACACCAGTGTGAGGGGACAATATGGGGGGGGACACCAGTGTGAGGGGACAATATGGGGGGGACACCAGTGTGAGGGGACAATATGGGGGGGACACCAGTGTGAGGGGACAATATGGGGGGGACACCAGTGTGAGGGGACAATATGGGGGGGACACCAGTGTGAGGGGACAATATGGGGGGGGGGGGGACACCAGTGTGAGGGGACAATATGGGGGGGGGGACGACACCAGTGTGAGGGGGACAATATGGGGGGGGGGGACGACACCAGTGTGAGGGGACAATATGGGGGGGGACGACACCAGTGTGAGGGGACAATATAGGGGGGGGGGGGGGGACACCAGTGTGAGGGGACAATATGGGGGGGGGGGACACCAGTGTGAGGGGACAATATGGGGGGGACACCAGTGTGAGGGGACAATATGGGGGGGGGGACACCAGTGTGAGGGGGACAATATGGGGGGGGGACACCAGTGTGAGGGGACAATATGGGGGGGACACCAGTGTGAGGGGACAATATGGGGGGGGGGGACACCAGTGTGAGGGGACAATATGGGGGGGGGGGGACACACCAGTGTGAGGGGAGATGTGGGGGACAATATGGGGGGGGGACACCAGTGTGAGGGGACAATATGGGGGGGGGGACACCAGTGTGAGGGGACAATATAGGGGAACACCAGGTGGGGGACACCAGTGTGAGGGGACAATATTAGGGGAACACCAGTGTGAGGGGACAATATTAGGGGACACCAGTGTGAGGGGACAATATGGGGGGGACACCAGTGTGAGGGGACACTATTAGGGGGGACACCAGTGTGAGGGGACAATATAGGGGGACACCAGTGTGAGGGGACAATATTAGGGGGACACCAGTGTGAGGGGACAATAATAGGGGGACACCAGTGTGTGAGGGGACAATAATAGGGGACACCAGTGTGAGGGGATAATATTAGGGGGACACCAGTGTGAGGGGGACAATATTAGGGGGACACCAGTGTGAGGGGACAATATGGGGGGGACGGGAACAATGTGATTGTCAAAGCAGATATTATAGAGCAGTGAGAGGTGTTCTAGTTACATAGAAAACTAAATTTAACAAATATTAAAAAATGAATATATTGAAAATGTGAGCCATGTTTCTGGGTGACTATGGGGTACCATACAGTCCAGTATGGGGGGACACGTGCCTGGTTACTGGGGGACTTTGCAGTGTATCCGGTGGGGGCTCAGTATTGTGCATTGGATCCGGTGGGGGTACAGTAGTGTGCAGTGTATCCGCTGGGGGGGTTCTCAGTATTTTGCAGTGCACCTGGTAGGGGTGCAGTATATCTGGTGGGGGCTCAGTGTTGTGCAGTGTACCTGGTGGGTGGTGTAGTAGTGTGCAGTGTATCTGATGGGGGGTGCAGTATTGTGCAGTGCACCTGGCGGGTGGTGTAGTAGTGTGCAGTGTATCTGATGGGGGGTGCAGTATTGTGCAGTGCACCTGGTGGGGGGTGTAGTAGTGCGCATTGTATTCAGTGGGGGGGTGCAGTGTACCCGGTGAGGGGCTCAGTATTGTGCAGTAGTGTGCAGTGTATCCGGTGGGGGGGTGCAGTAGTGTGCAGTGCACCTGGCGGGGGGTGCAGTGCACCTGGTGGGGGGTGCAGTAGTGTGCAGTGCACCTGGTGGGGGGTGCAGTAGTGTGCAGTGTATCCAGTGGGGGGGTGCAGTAGTGTGCAGTGCACCTGGTGGGGAAGGGCAGTAGTAGTGTGCAGTGCACCTGGTGGGGGGAGTGCAGTAGTGTGCAGTAGTGTGCAGTGCACCTGGTGGGGGGGTGCAGTAGTGTGCAGTGTACCTGGTGGGGGGGGTGCAGTAGTGTGCAGTGTACCTGGTGGGGGGGTGCAGTAGTGTGCAGTGCACCTGGTGGGGGGGTGCAGTAGTGTGCAGTGCACCTGGTGGGGGGGGTGCAGTCACTGTGCAGAGTCATGCATAGCTGGCCTACAATGGGGCACAGTCCTGTAGAATGTGAGGTGCATTCAATGGCTGGAGCACACTGCACTGTCCAGTATGAGGTGTATTGTGTGCTCGGGATATTGGGGAGCAGTCCTGTAGAATGTGAGGTGTCATCTATGACTGGGAGGGAATGCAGTAAGAGGGGTCATACATACCTGGGCTATGAGGGGGCGCAGTGTTCCAGTATGAGGAGTATTGTATGCCCAGGATAGCGGGGGGGATACGGTGCAATATGTGGTATAGTACAGACCCTGGATATTGTGGGTTATGAGGTACCTCACATGTCCAGGTTACCAGGGGGTGCAGTGCTGTGTAATGTGAGGTGCCATGGATTCCTAGGCTGCAGTGATAATAGGAGGTACAGTGTCTGCTGACATTTTGCCATGTTAGCATTGAGGGGAGTCATAGAGGGACATTTGGGGGATGCAGGGGGTAAGGATTTCAGTCCAGGGACCCCAGCACGTCTTGTACCCGGGCCCACATGCCAAGGGATATGCCTGCTCTTGGAGAGGAGCCCCTCGCATCTACCTTCTGGAACAATCCTGCATACCCCATGTACAGGCGTTGCAGGTTCAGTGCGGTCCATACATTCCCACAGTGCGCACGTGCAAAATAAAACATGGGGGCAGATGGTGTGCAGGTAATGTCAAACCCGAGCGTGCCATGAACTGCATGCCCTATGAATTTCAGGCGTCAATAATTGTCACTTTTTTTCTAATGTTTTATTATTTTCTTGTCCTGTGATTTTAGTTTCTTAAAGGGAAGTGTTGTCACCGTCTCGGAGG